CATCTCTATGCAGAAATCTCTGTTCAACGTTAGGTTATTTTCCTAGGATAGATTCCTAAATCTGAGTCAAAAGTTAGGAATATTTTTAATGCTTTTGTATACATTGCCAGATGGCTTTTCAAAAAGACTGTATCAATTTTATATTCTCATAATGCATCCTGATGCTGTCTTACCATTTTCTCACTAGCTTTTTACATATTTTTACTTTTAAGAATCTTTGCAGTGGCAACTCATCTTAGCTGGAGGTTTTAATTATGAGATTTGATTCTTTAAATATATTGATTAGCTATTTTATTTCCTTTATGAATTGTATTTAGGTCTTTGGTCTCTTTTTTGAGCTTTTAAAGTATTTTAGGAATCAGCTGGCATTTTTCCAGAGAATTATCAATCACTCTTAAATAAATAAATCTCTATTGCTACTCATTCTTGGGCAAACTAAAGTTGCTCATATGAGAAAAAGAAATAACCCAGTTACTATTTATTGTCTACATCTCAGTCCTTGTGGCTTTAGATGTGGAAGCAACCTTATGTTTCACCTCCAGCACATCCTCTGAAGTATGACAAGATTCATCGAGTTAGTAGTTACAGACTTCTTGTCCTCAGTTTTAGCTGCTTTGAAGGATGACTGGAGGTGATTCCCAAGTCTCCATGGTGAATTTCATAAATACAGTGAAGCCCAGGTTTCAAGTCAGCATCACAGACTTACCATTAAAATTTAGTAAAAATTGGTACTCGTTTCAGGTGATTAGCCTTGTCATCATAGTTGTGGCTGTAACAATGGTAACTATAGTTAATTACATTTGCATGATGTAGCTTACTTTGCTCAGTTGTGTGTGTATGTGTTTGTGTATATATATAGAGAGAGAAGCTTTTATCTTTTTCCACAGTCACAGCTACTGAGTTTATTCTTCAATTTTCTTTCATTGTATTTACCATTAGGAAGTCTTTCTCAAAGCACTTAGTAATCATAATACAAACCCTAGACAGCCTTTGTACCTTACTGATGTACGTACAATAACCATTGCTCCGATGATAAAAAGACTCTTACCTAAATCTAGTGAGAGGAAAAATCATTTGAAGACCTTCCTAGAATTGGGGAGCTTATGAAAGAATGAAATTCATGTCTGACTGGCAGTGGAGTCAGTATTTTCACAGCTTCATGTAATTTATAAGTCTGCCTGATATCTTGGTTCAAAATAATCTGTCCTATTCCTGATTCTAAGAGCAGCAATCTACGGCTGGATGTTACAAGTATTTCCATAAGGGACTGTTCACCTTTTCCTGTAGAAGAGTTGATAGGTTATCCTGTTGGACCATTTCCACATGTGTGCAAGTCAGTGTCATTATGTTGGTTAGAGTGTGGCTTTGATAGCATCTTTCTAACTTTGTTCATTTTGATAATAACCTTGTCTCGCTAGTGATGGTTTACATACCTTTTCATCCTAGGAACGCAACTTTTTCACACGATGCCTCATGACTTTCTAGTGAAAGATAATTGTAGCATCTTCATCCTATAAATGTAGAAACTGAGAGTCACAACCACAATGTATTACCAGACATCTCAGTTACAAGACTGCCTACCTGCCAGGTTTCCTTCCTCTTAGAGAGGACCTTTCTCTATTAAACCACATTGTTTTCCTTAAAAACTGTTATATCTGGGCCAGTCATCTTCTTGCATTCATATAACAGTGCTGTAAAGATTTGCTCTGTAGATCAGATTCTGCCTGATCTTGAAGAGATTCCCCCAATAGTAATTTAAGGCCACTGCATTCTTCAAGTACTCAGGACAATGATATGAAGAATTTTTCATTGGAGTTGGACATAGCTGAAGGCTGACAATCTCCTCATAAAACTCAAACCTTTTCTGCTCATCCTGGGCAGTATATTTGCCGAGTCTTCTCTTGTGAACTGAGAAGTAAGAAAGTTAAGTCCATGGGTTGAATCACTCTTTGGGTGACTGGCATCATATTTGCCCTTAAATGCTCAGGGTGAATGTACTTGATAATGTGGAACAATCTGAAACTACACAAGTCATTCTCTGAGTCTAAGTTCATAGTCACAGATGTAAAGAAGTTAAGTGGAAACAAATTAGCACACTTGTAGGTCCAATATAACTTATTTTCAAATATATAGATAAGAATAGGGATATATATTTCTGTTAGCCTTAATCTTACCAATTCCTTATATTTGAAAATCTTAGTAGAGTTCAGAAGAAAATGTGTGCAAGACCCTTTTCATACTCTATGTTAGTTTATGTTTTAATATTTTACTACTTTGAGTTGGCTTAAAGTCCAAACAACCTACTATGGACCACAAAATATTTTCAGGTAATTTAGAACTATCCATGGTCAAGTCTTGGCTAATCGTCTTAAGCCTTTGGTATTTGCAAATATATCCTACGTGACACGTGGCTGACCAAAAACAAAACCAAGCAGTGAACAAATAGCACAGAGATGTCATTTAAAAGAGGCATCTGAGGAAAAATTTTAGGGTTGTAATAAGGTCTCCCAAAACATCTCTAGTTGGAACCAGTACTATAAAACTTATCGCCAATGGGATAACCATATAATCTATAAAATAAGTTTTCAGAAGCATTTCTGAATTTTTTGTCCCAGTATTAACTACTTTATGCAAATATTGAGGAACTTCTATTACACAATGTTCTATCAGCTAGCAAACACAAAAACTACTTGATATTGACAATTACATCAGAATAATATATTGATAATAGGTAAATGACATGAAATTAACCTTCTTTGAAAATGAGAGTTTGCAGTCACAGCATAGATTTGCTGTTAGTGAAGGAGTACACATCTAACATTCAACTACATAATTTATACAAAGAATTGAAATGGTGATTGGGAAAGGTTTTCTCTAAATTATATTCAGTATATTTTTATCTTAACAAAACACATTTTAAAATCTAGGAATGTTTGCATTATTTTTTCATTTAATTTTATTTTGTTTCTAAAAGAAACTCCAGCCTTTAAATAAATGAAACACAAACTGAATTTTTACATGGTAGTCAGCAATGATTTTTTTTTAACTAAGGATTTTTTGGTTGTTTTTGAGAGAAAATATAGAACTAAGAAAACCTTCCTCATAAAACTTTATAAGTGAAACTTCTTTTTAAATATGCTATTTTATGTTAAGTATTTCATCTCTCTGTCCTTATTAGGTGTGTCTCATCATTAGAAACAGTGTTACTAAATAGTTGTAACTTTACAGTTTCTTTGACTAACGATGCCTTGGACTAAAGTTCCATTGGGTAGGATTAACTACGTTTTAAGTTGGCAAAATGCCCTTATAACATAATGCCAGAACTTAATGAGAACCAGACGTTAACTTCAAGGACCTTCATAATTTAATATGAGGCATGCTTATATTCTTATTATTTTACTGTGGTATCCTATTAAAAATAAGTTATTCTTTTTTATCTTTGTTCTTGTGATAAAAAGTTGAACTCAGCAAAGTTTTACTTATTGAATCTAGGGTCTTACGAGTAAGACTTTTCCATCCTCAAACAAGACAGACCCTTTCCGATCAGAAAGAGCAGAAATGAGAACCATCTCCCTTACTTAAAAATCTCATGGCATCCTTTAATCTCCTGTGACTCTGGTTTCCTATGGCTCAAATCTGTCTTCCTAACCTGTGGTCTATTTCTTTTCCATGTCTTATATCAGCCACTTCTCCATTGCCTGGATTGAAAAGCTGACCAGCTATATCCCTGTAATGAAAGGATCTTGGGAATATTGAGTTTCTTACGTGTGGGAAGGATGGAGAGCATGGATTAGAACGGAATGTTCTATTTGTGGTACTGATGACTGTGGTGTCTAATAGCTATACCTCACAGGAAGAGAAAGCTTAAGTTTTGTGGAACTACATGATAAATTGGAAGTAGGGACAGGTAGAGGAGGAAGAAGAGCTGACGGGAGGATTCTTTCTAGTCTGTGAGGAAGAACCTTCCTGTCCTGAAGGTGTATAGCACCAAACTTCTAATGCAGATGAACTTTCAAGCTCTTTTCTGTTCTAAAAATCCCATGATTCCTATGCTTAGAACCCAAAGGACCTAAAGCAAATGCCTATATTCCTTATTCTTTTTTCTCACAGTCCTACGTAGACATACTTGCAAAGAAATGCTGAGCCCTTATAAAGACTGGAAACCATACCACAAGATGGAAAAAGTAAAATACAGCAGAGGCAAAGGGAAAACTGCATCCCAAAACTCCTGATGGAGGAAAACCTCAACTATTTAGCTGTGGTCTGTGCTTCCTAGTGGCTAAGGCAAAGAGGGAAATAGGATAACAGGGTGTGATTTTCTGGTAGTAAAACACACACCTATCAGCTCTTCAGAAATAAGCAAGCATTTTTCTTGCTCTCAATAAGACCAACTTGCCTAGGAGGTTTGTATAAGAAGCCATAAGCCACATAAAAATGATGTCCTCATGAATTTTTATAGAAAATAAAGTACTCCACATATGTCATTTCATTTATTGGCCTTTGGAGAACACTGAGGGAATAATGTTAAAAGCTAGACGTTTTCTTCTCCCATGGGGGCAGGGAGAGGGGCGTTTGAAACTTCTGGTATATTTACTGTAGATAGATGCTTATTTTCTTTTGACCCACTGACATATGGAGCAGTAGAAAGATGTAAAGATGTCTAGTAAAGGGTAGCCTTGTTAAAAGGAGGAGGGGATAAATGGAATTTTTGTGGCAGAATGATATTTGCAAGACTGATCAGGCCGCTGGGAGGTTTTTAAATATGCCAGTTCCCTGTAACAGGAAGATCAGTCTCTGTTTGAGACAGCATATCCAATTTAGTAAATTATTATTATTCCGTCAAAATTAATGTGAACAATTTTCTCTTTGAGGCTGCTTTTTCCATAGGTGATGTTTTCCAGATGGGCTTTGTATAAAACTCTTAATGTTTTGTGTTTTCTTTCCTAGAGAAAGAGCCTTTTCTGACATGTCTTCATTTCTTTCTCTTCCCCCTGTTGTAGGGAAGAGAGCGCCAAAGGCAAAGGAGAGAAAGAACAAGAAGAAGAAGAAGCTGATAGAAAGAGCCCAGGAGCAACACAGCGTCTTCCTAGCTACAGACAGAGCTAACCAGTAAAATAAAAGACACAGGGTGGTGTTTTTTTGTTGTTGTTTGTTTGGTTTTTTTTTCTTGGTTGGGGGTTGTTTTTGCAAAAGTGCACAAAGCTACTCTCCACTCCCGGACACTGGTGGGTTGCATTTGCGCTGCTCGGACCAGTACCTGTTCCCAGTCACGTTGTGAGAGGAGGAGCCACGAGCGTGGTCTCTGTGTTATTTATGCTTTGATTTGCATCTGGAGACTGTGAAGGCGGGAGCTTGCGACCTGCAGCAGTGGCAGCAGGAGTAAGTGTACAGCATGTGACTCAGCTCGCTGTGCCCCCAGAGAGAGCCACCCCTGGTCCCACAGAGGGGCAGAAGGTGTGAGGTTGCAGACCCCCCACTGGAGAATTGACTTGTGCATATTTATGGAAAGACAGCGCTTGGCAGGCAAAGTGCTATTTCGCTTGTGACATTTCTCATATTGCATTTTCAAGGATCAAGGTATGTGGATATCTGCTTAGTGTTACCACACGTGGTTCCCAACATCTGTTACCTTCCAACTCTTGTGCACGGAGTCTGCTTTTAGCTGGGGTTCCGCTGCAGGAATTCCCGTTCAGTTTCACAGCAGCTTGGATGTGTACATACTCTGCTGGGGCTACATATAAACCTCTTATTTACTGTATTTATGCTTTCTTCTGTGCAACAAGTCATACCTGATTAATATTATGTCACTTTGTTTCTAGTGGTTCCTAACCATTGTCTGGTAAATGACTGTTCTAGTTTTGCGAATTGATGAATGTTTTTCTGCCCCTTGAAACTTAACTTTTCTTTTCTTTGTGGGCTTATTTCTCATTGTAAGGATAGGATAAGCTAGTTTGTACATAGGGTCAAACGACCCCTGTCAGAGAATTTGAATATCAATAGACCTTCCCTACTCCTGACCCCAGCTAAAGCTTGAGGCCTCTGGCAGTCAGAAGCCAAAACTCCCTTTGAGTCTAAGATGTGAAGACTTTATGAAACACAACTGAAAACATGAGGAATTACATGCAGTCACTTGTAGTACTCATCATGCAGTTTCACAGGTCAACTAGAGAATTTTTCAAACTTTTAATTGCAAACTTCAATATGTATAGTTTCCATTTAAAGCAGTTCCTGACTTGCAATGACAGAGCATCTATCAATATTCTTAGGTCAGTGTAGAAATTACCATCTTATGAGACCATGCGTAGAACTGGAGGAGAAACATAATTCCTACAACTGCTGGTCAGATCTTAACAGGACTCCTTTGAACCAGAATTTCTTTCTTATCCAAGACAGAGAGGAACACTGTGCAGACTTCCCAGGTGACTTTCAGAGCAGTTGTTTCAAAAACATCACTGTCCACTTGGGGGAATCAGTTCTTAGAGGGTTTTGAATCGGCTTCTTCCAAAAGCATCACTATCTTCCTGGATGATCCAGAAGAAAATTAGAACAAAAAGGAATGGCTGCAGATTTTTGAGGAAAAATACAAAGGTAAAGCCTTTTTCTCACCTTGCATTTGCTAAACTACCTCTTCTGTATTTTTGTTTAACTTTTGAGTCAAAAGCATCTTACCAATAAATATGAATGTCAAATACGTCATTATGAAAATACTATTGCTATGAGATAATAAGCCATATATGAATGTTGTATACAACTTTAGGGTTTGCATTTAATCCTAAAGTGTTCACCTCCTTTCACATCTATTTACACTATATTCCTATTTACTAAGTGGGGAGGGGGCTTCTTTATATAGTGCTTCATCGTTAATAAGTCAATACCTGTTCTGTTTCTGGGATGTTCTTTTAGTGCATTAAAAAAAATCAAAATTATTCTTGTGGAGATATTCTTTTCTTTAGAGATATATTTAGGGGAAAAAAAAATATTTAACAACTGTACCGCCAAATATTGGTCCTTAAAAAAAAGCAGACAAATTTTTAAAACCTATGTTTGTAACTACATGCAGGACACTAACTAGTTCAGCTATAAAGTGCACTGCAGCAGAGTGATTAAGAGTGGGGATTTTAGAGCCACACTACCTGAGGTCTAGTCTAGACTCTGAGGGTCGCCTGGGGCAAATTATTTCATCTCCCCAGATCTCAGTTTCCTAATCTGTAAAATGGAGGCAACAATATTACCTATGTCGTAGGGCTATGTCTTAAAGACTAAGTAAAATATGTGTAGGGCTGTGTCTTAAGGATTCAGTTAGGTAAAATGCATAAAGTACGGTCAGCACAGCATGGTATAAACTAAGCAATGCACAAGTTGTTACCTGTTACTCTTGTTGCCTCTGTCCTTAGCTATTTATTTCAAAAATAATTCTCCCTACCAACAAAATAGAATATATTTATGAAATCATCACTTCCCTTCAATCTATTTTTTTTAATGTCTGGATATTACTTGCTCAAACTTTTACTCTTATGGGAATTGATTAAAGCTACCTGATTTCTAAGCCTTTACTTATAAGCAAATACAAACCAACAGAGAGAGACATACTATAGAGTAATTTACAGCTTCATGGTAATTACCCAAAGAAGATCTCGTGGTTTTCCACAAATGGCTATACCATTCCTATACTTCACACAATGTATGTTAAGTAGAACATATGAAACTGGTTTTCTTAGTATTTTCGGGTAGCTTAGCATCTGTAAAAGTAAAATATGGGACTACAACTTTCTCCAAGAAGCTTGAGTGGTATTCTGATAGGGATTACATTGAATTGTAGATTGCCTACAATCTACAATTGTAGGTAGTACTGTCATTGTAATCATATTAATTCTTCTAATCTAAGAAAATAGTATATCTTTCCATCTGTGTTATCTTCAATTTCTTTCATCAGTGTCTTATCATTTTCTGAGTATGGGCCTTTTGCCTCCTTAGATAGGTTTATTCCTTTGTATTTTATTCTTTTTGGTGTGATGGTAAATGGGATTTTTCCCTTAATTTCTCTTTCTGATAGTTTGTTGTTACTGTACAGAAATGCAATAGATTTCTGTATATAAATTTTGTACCCTGAAACATTACTGAATTCATTGATGAGCTCTAGTAGTTTTTTGGTGGCATCTTTAGGATTTTTTATGTATAGTATCATGTCATCTGCAAACAATAACCGTTTTTACTTCTTCACTTCCAATCCCTATCAAAATACCAATGGCATTTTTCACAGAACTAGAACAAATTTTAAAATTTTTATGGAAACACAAAAGACCCCAAATAAGCAGAACAATCTTGAGAAAGAAGAACAGAGCTGGAGGAATCACACTCTCTGACTTCAGACTATACTACAAAGCTACAGTAATCAAAACAGTATGATACTGGCACAAAAACAGACACAAAGATCGACGGAACAGAATAGAGAGCTCAGAAACAAACCCACACACTTATGGTCAATCTACGACAAAGGAGGCAAGAATATACAATGGAGAAAAGACAGCCTCTTCAATAAGTGGTGCTGGGAAAACTGGACAGCTACATGTAAAAGAATGAAATTAGAACATTCTCTAACACCATATACAAAAAATTTTTTAATTGGATTAAGGACCTAAACTTAAGACCAGAAACCATAAAGCTCTTAGAGGAAAACATAGGCAGAACGCTCTTTGACATAAATTACAGCAATTTTTTTTTGGATCTGTCTCCTAAAGCAAAGGAAATAAAAGCAAAAATAAACAAATGGGACCTAATTAAACTTAAAAGCTTTTGCATAGCAAAGGAAACCATTGACAAAATGAAAAGACGACCTACTGAACAGGAGAAAATATTTGCAAATTATATGACTGATAAAGGGTTAATATCCAACATATATAAATAACTCATACAACGCAACATCATAAAAACGAACAACCCAATTTTAAAAATGGGCAGAAGACTTGAATAGACATTTTTCCAAAGAGGAAATGCAGATGGCCAACAGGCACATAAAAAGATGATGCTCAAGGTCAGTAATCACCAAGGAAATGCAAATCAAAAGCACAATGAGATATCACCTCACACCTGTCAGAATGGCTATCATCAAAAAGAATACAAATAAATGTTGGCAAGGATGTGGAGAAAAGGGAACCCTCTTGCACTCTTTGTGGGAATGTAAATTGGTACAACCAGTATAGACGTTTCTCAAAAAACTAGAAATAGAGCTACCATATCACCCAGCAATGCCACTCCTGGATATATACCTGAAAAAAAACCCCACTAATTCAAAAAGATACATGCACCCCAACGTTCATAGCAGCATTATTTATAATTACCAAGATATGGAAGTAACTTAAGTGTCCATCAACAGATGAGTGGATAAAGAAGATGTGGTACATACATATCTACAATGGAATATTACTTAGCCATAAAAAAGAATGAAAATTTTGCTATTTGTAGCAAGATGGATGGACTTGGAGGGTATTATACTAAGTGAACTAAGTCAGACAAAGAAAGATGAATACTGTATGATATCATTTACATGTGGAATCTAAAAAATACAACAACAAACTAGTGAACATAACAAAAAAGAAGCAGACTTACAGATATAGAGAACAAACTAGTGGTTACAGTGGGGAGAGGGAAGAGAGAAGGGGCATAATAGGGGTGGGAGATTAAGAGGTAAAAACTGTTATGTATAAAATAAGCTACCAGGATATATTGTACAACCCAGGCAATATTGCCAATATTTTATAATAACTATAAATGGAGTATGACCTTTAAAACTTGTGACTCACTATATTATACACCTGTAACTTGTATAATATGGTGCATCAACTATACTTCAATAAAAAACCTTAAGTGGGGGTGGGTGAAGGGGGTCAAAAGAGCAAACTTCTAGTTATAAAATAAGTCTTGGGGGTGTAATGTACAGCATGGTGACTGTAGTTAATAATATGTATGGCATAACTGAAAGTTGTTAGAAGAGTAAATCATAAATATCCTCGTCACAAGAGAAAAAAAAGTTTGACAGATTAGCACTTGGAAAAAGCCAATTTTATGAATGTCTTTGTTCTTTTTCAAGATGCTAATATCAGTCACTGTAAACAT